ACGCCATCCTTGCTCAGAGTGACAATGCAGACATCATTGCTGACATCCGTAAAGACATGGATAAAGCTTTTGTAAGTGTTACTGCATGTGCGCCTACTGTTGTTATTGTTGTCTTGAGTGTTGTGTGATGAATAATAACATGGTGAGTATTTTGTTTTCTAGATGGGAATGAAGAAGATGCGTGAAAAAGCAGACCGAGGGAACTTCAGAAGGGAAATAAAGGAGCTAAAAAAAGAACTGAAGACCAGGGAAGCGACAGCCATCACTCAGATCCTTAAAAGTGCTGATGTCGTCTTATCAACAAATACAGGTCAGTAATGGCTCCGAGTGAAGAAAATGTGATTGCTGTCATTGCGCTGATGATGAAAAGAAATTAGAGGGCACTTGTGTGTGTGTGTGTCTGCAGGTGCTTGTGATGACGGCCCTCTGAAGTTCCTGCCGGCGGAGCATTTTGATTGGGTGGTGATCGACGAGTGCGCTCAGGCCCTGGAGAGCAGCTGCTGGATCGCTCTGCTCAGAGCACGCAAGTGCATTCTAGCCGGAGACTACAAGCAGCTACCACCTACAATCAAATCACAAAAGTAAAGAAAAAAAAAAAAATTGTATAAAAACCAACAATATTTAAGATTTGTCCTGTGACAAGTTTGACATCCTACATTTATGTCTACAGTAAGCCTTCTTATGTTCAGGTTATCAGATTGATACAGGGCTCTCCTAACAAGACACAAGAGAGATACAGACAGATATTTTTGGGCTTTTGTGCCTTTATTGGAGAGATAGGACAGTGGATAGAGTTGGAAATCAGGGAAAGAGAGAGAGTGGGGAATGACATGCAGGAAAGGCGCCACAGGTTGGATATGAACCTGGGCTGCCCGCTTGGAGGACTACAGCCTCCATACATGGGACACGCACCAACCACTGCGCCACCAGTTAAGCTAGACTGCGTCAGTTCCTGTTATAGATTGATCCTTGTTGGAGGAAGCAGAGAAGAAGCAATACTTAATTCGTTATGAACTGAGGGGATGGGAAGAGTAATGAAGTCTTGAGGACATCAGAAATAGCTGCACTGTTAACATGACATCTTACTTCACAGGGCTGCATCAAAGGGCCTGTCCCTCAGCCTCATGGAAAGACTAATCCAGATGTGCGGGGACTCCGTGGTGCGTATGCTAACAGTTCAGTACCGCATGAACAGCGCCATCATGGAGTGGGCCTCCAAAGAGATGTACCAGGGAAGGCTGACCGCTCACAGCTCTGTAGAGGGACATTTGTTAAAGTGAGTGTGAGCTTTGACGTGGAGATTGTCCCTCTTTTGTATTTTGGTGAACGATGGCTCAAAGAAGCAAATGTTTGTGCCTTTTGTTGAAAAAAAGAGATCTACCAGGAGTCGCCTGTGTTGAAGAGACCAGCACGCCGCTGCTTCTTATCGACACCGCAGGCTGCGGTCTGAGTGAGATGGAGGTCACAGATGAACAGTCAAAAGGCAATCAAGGTTGGTCAGTTAGGTTGGAAGAGAACTGTTTGATTACAGTCCTTGTGTAGTGGGATCTAACCGTTTGTTACTTGATTTTCAGGTGAGGTGGATATAGTTGATCTGCACATTAAGACCTTGATTGAAGCTGGGTTAAAAGCCAAAGACATAGCTGTTATTGCTCCGTACAATCTACAAGTAAGTCACTGACTTGAGGGATTGTGTCTTAAAACTTTTAGCAACTGCGTGCATTGTGTCATGGCAATAATGCATAACTTCACTGTCTGTATGTCTCAGATAAAAGATAAAGATTTTCTCAATGATGTAAATAACATAAATCAAAGTATAAAATGTTAAGTTAAACAAGAACAAAGCAGTGAAGCCGATTTTTACATTTTTTCTCTCTCTAAAGGTGGACCTTCTGCGTCAGAGACTTTCTGCTAGACATCCAGAGCTGGAGATCAAGTCAGTGGACGGATTTCAAGGCAGAGAGAAGGAGGCTGTGGTGTTGTCATTAGTTCGATCCAACAGAAAAGGTATGTTTCTTTCTACTAAGAAATTTTGACTTTTTCTGCCCTACCGTGTTAATGTTAGCCATTATATGTTTTGACCTGTGTGTGTGTGTGTGTGTGTGAGAGTGTGTGTGTGTCTCAACAACAGTGAAAACATTGTACTTCCTCTGGGATTAAAAAAGTATTCATTAAAGCTTCTTAATCTTACACACAAGGGACTGGGTTAAATTGGATATTATTCTTTTTTTCTATTTCATATTTTGGTTTTTAACCAAGAAAACAAGATAAGCTAAATTCTATTATAATTGATCAGAATTAATTTTCAATAGCAATAAGGATCTCTATTTGTGTTGTGTTATAAATCCAGCTCAGCCCTTTTCTTGATAGCGATGTAGAATCCAGTTTGTATGGATTCAGGCGGATGGTAGAACAAATGACATCCTCTAGATGGCACTTTGAAACAATCAGGACAACAAAATTATAAACACACTTTGGCCCAGATTTCATCATTGAAATAGTTGATACTGTCCTGCCCACATCCATCTAAATGATGGTTGGTTTTCCCTCTAATGTCTGTCTGAATACATGTGAACGCATCATGACACATCTGGGATGTGGTTAAGTCATTGGGATCTCAATGATATTTTTTTTTTCAAGGGGATGTTGGATTTCTGGCCGAGGACAGAAGGATAAATGTTGCTGTAACACGTGCCAGACGTCACATTACTGTGGTCTGCGACACCCAAACTGTCCAGAATCATCCTTTCCTGAAGTCCCTCATTCTTCACATGACTGATTTGGCACGGTCAGAACGGCATTTGAGTACATCCAGGACATCGTGCCACAAAACTACACCCGTGACCAGAAGGACATCAAGCCCAATACATCTTCCAGCAACTCTGTGACCACCAAACAGAAGGTCAAACAGCCGCCTCCCAACAAGATGAAACCAGGACAGAAGACATCTAGTGATGATAAAAGTACTGGTACGAAGAGGCACACAACATCCTGTCTATCTGCACATGAGGAGGAGCAGAAGAAGCAGAACAGACAAATAGAGATCAGACAGCAGGTGGAGAAGTTTCTCAAGGACTTAAATCAAAGTGAACTCCAGTTTCCATCATCGTTTAACTCTCATGACCGCCTGCTGGTCCATCAGATCGCTGAGGAGCTGGGACTGGTGCACGAGAGTAAAGGTGAGGGGAAGGACCGGTGTATCACTCTGTCCAGGCGCCTGGAGTCATCACCTTCTGAGCTGCAACTACAAGAAGCAGAAGTAGCCCACGAAGAAGAACCACTCCCAAATACCAGTAGCGAGACGCTTCGTCAACCTCTGCTAGACCTGAAAAGTTTACATTTGGAGCGGATGAAGAGGGAGCAGCAGAAAAGGGAAGAAAATGCTCAACAAAAAAAGCAACAGAGCATTCCTCTACCAGCTCAAGGCCAGTCATCAAAGAAACCAAAATCAGCTAAAGGTTTGAATTAGAAACATCTAGTATTCAAATCTTTTCTAACTTCTTTCTACTCCTAATGTGCCCGCTACAACTCAGCTCTTTCTCTTTCTCTTTTTTCACCCAGGAAAGAAACGCACGAAGGCAGGCGCCTGCGACATCGCCGCTGCTGCTGCTCCAGATGAGGACTTTGATGCGCTTATCAATGCTGTCAGGAAGGCTGAAAGTGTATGCAGTTTCGTCAAATGTAAAGCTTCGGTGCTAACCCTTGGACAGCTTTGCATGTTCTGCAACAGGCAGTTCTGTCTGAGTCATCATATACCAGAGGTAAGACAGGAACAGGCTCCAAAGTACTGTATGTTTCTGTTTTTTATTGTTATTCACATGTTTTGCAGCTGGGATTAACCTCATTTGAAAATGCAGGTGCATATTAAAAAAAAAAAAAAAAAAAAAAAAATACTCCAGGAAAGTGTCTTATTTTAACTATATGCACTATTTGACCATAAAATGACAGAATAAATTGTTATGTGTGTTTTTTATTTAGTAATTTCCTGATCAGATTTTTCCTTTTCCAGGTTCACGGCTGTGGAGATAAAGCCAAGTCCCATGCTCGTATGAGAATAAGTAAAGAAGGTGTTCTTTATGCTGGGAGTGGGAAGAAAGACAAATCAATGGACCCTAATAAGAAAGCCTATCTGCAAAGGAAACTGGACTCCAAACTGAAAGATATGGCATCACAGAGAAAACCAAAAAACAACGAGGAGAGTTAACGATACCGAATAAACTCAAGAAATGAACTGATCTGCAGAATTTGTTCTAAATGTGATTAAACAATTCAAAAAGTCAGTAAAGTAGTCCTTTTGTTTGATCCAGTATAAGTGCTTTCATAACAGTCATGTTACACAGTATAATACTGTTTGATGCTTCATGTTCAGGGCCCTGTTGTTCAAACCAACAGGATTAAAGCTATTGGATAGGATTAAAACCTGAAGTTGGGTTGTTCAAAAGCAACATTTTTTAAAAGGTAGTTGATATTTTATAACATCGTTTAAATACTAGAATAATTTAATGTTTCAGTGACAAGGCAGATGAGCTTCACATTAAGGGCTAAAAGATTATAACAGAGTTTTTTCATCCTAAAATGTTTCAAGCATTAAATGTTTCATTAAGAGTAACTGAGAAAAAAAATATAAATACAAAAAAAAGTAACTGAGGATCTTTCTATGGATTTTGGGACCCCCTGTGGATAATTACTGTATCTGTAGCGTGATGGAACATACAGTAGGCTATAAAGCACTGGAAATTGGGATTTGATCATCCTTAAGAGTGTGAAGCTGGATCAGGTAATATTCTTTATTTTTTATTTTAAAAGCCGGTACAAAAGTGAGCTGGATAACATGATCCGTGGAAGGAAAAAAAAAGTGGACAAATCCTTTTTATCCGCATAAAACCTTCTGAACAATCAGGCCCAGGACAGGAGTGCAATCAATATTTGAACCATGCAACATGTTCCTTACTCTTCCAGTTGTTGCAGCTACAACATAAAGCTACCTGCAGCGCGTGAGCTTATTCTAACACCACACGTATTGACAGAGGACAGATTGTCAATGGGCTGGAGATTTTGTCCTCATCATACAGTCCAGGGGAGAAATAGGGGAAAATCTTCTCTGTAAATCTGTCATTGAACGTGTGGATTGTTGTCAAATCAGTCGCATTAATGAAGACTACTTTTCCTCTGTCATAGTCCACTTTGATAGTAATCCTCTCAGGCTTCTGCTTCAACACAAGCTTGGTGCGAGGCGAGGTCTCGGCCCAGTATGAGTCTCCGTTTAGCAGGCCGATCACCCAGAATCCCTCAGTGGGGTTGAGGAAGACAGCGCTCTTCCTGTTGATTGACTCCTGGGCCACACCGATGTACCAGTCTTTGCCTTGGCCCACATCTACAGTCCAGCTGTGTTTTCCCCACGTGAAGCCGGTGGCACCCAGCGCACACACACGGTTGGTGCATCGCTCAGGGTTGTCAGGTAAGAGCTGCTTCTTGCTGTACTGCACACAGGTCAGCTCCTCAGAGCACCTCAGGTTGGACTGAGCAGTGTTTGGATCCAGAGTGATGGGAACTGCACGTGTAAACAAACATCAGTACAGGGAGAAAACTGAAAAAAAAAAAGAATGATCCATAACTGAAGTTGTGTCTGTTTCCCACCATGTTTGATGATGTCAGCCATCTTCCTCCACACCCTGTACCCCAGTAAGCCCAAATGTTGTGCAGAGTTGATCAGGATATCTCTGATGCACTCCGGCTCCCGAATGACACATTTGACACTGAAACATGTTGAAATAATCACAACATTGTCTTCTGGAGTCATTGCTAATTCTAACTAACAGTAACTTCCACTTACCTTTTCTTTGTCTGCTTGTAGTCCTTAATGAGCCACACAAAGAAAGTGGAGTTAATACACCTCATCAAAACAAAGTGAATAGTTACATGCACTATTATGCAGCTGACTGCATTCAAAAATAATTTAAAGAAATGTTCTTGAGCTACACGTCACATATGTTTTATCAATAATTTTCTATATGGACATTTAGGGTTAGCGCTATAAATGTTGAATAACATTTGTAAGTGCAAGACAACTGCAAATCATCATCAGTGATGAAAAAAAAAAGAGGTCATGTCAGCACACTGACTCCAAACCAAAAAATCATTGCACTTGACAAAGTTTCATTACAGGTCAGAGCTTCTTTTAAAAAATGCGGAAAAATGGTCAAAACAGCCATCTTTAAACCAATCAGCTGGTCAACTCTAAAATACAAATGTGTGTTAAACCACCCATAAGACATTAAATTTGACATATTAGTCATACATGGTCTCCAGTCCAGTCCAATTTTATCATAACTCTGATGTTCCACTGGCTTTTTATTTAGTGCCACCATCAGATCAAAATGTCATTTTGTCTGGTACTTTGGTGTATGACCTGATTTCCAGAAAACTAAGGATAATCTGATCAACCTCAGCTGTATCCTTCATACAAATTAGCAGATACAGGCCAGATTACATGTTAAACTTACATAGGGAACACGCTTAATTGTAAACCTGATTAACATAACAGCAGCAGTTCTCCCATAAAAACGACTTTTACAAAGCTTCTACATTTTAAGTTTTTGTTGACATCGTTAGAAAGGCAATAATTCTACTTCATTTTTATTACTGAGGTCGTAGTGGGTGTTGGTGGTGTGGAGTACATTTTTAGGAAGTGCATAAGGAACACCTTGACACCGGCCCTTGAAGCAGAGGTCCTAGATTCTACTCCCACCCTCAATCAATCAATCAATCAATCAATCAATCTATCAGTCAATCTTTATGTGTAAAGCGCCAATTTATAACAAATGTTATCTCAAGACACTTTACAAAAAGCAGGTAAAAGACTTTACTTTCTGTTCACCCTGGGCCCTTTACCAAGTCATCCCCCATTTTCTCATCCCTGTGTCCCCCCAAGCCCCAAAAAAACAAGTTTTAAATGTTCATGATAATTGGCAGGTTGAATGTTTAACTAAAGCTGTCATCACAGAGTCTATCATCCTGTGTGACACTTAATAAATCCTAATGTTTTGCCTCTGAAGATATTTATATGTTGTGACCATTTTCAACATTAAAACCTCGAGACCTTTCAAGTGGAACTGATTTGTTATCCATTTGAAAAAAACAGTTGTGGTTTGAAGTTGGTGTTCAGGTATAATGTGTTAACAATGCCTCTTAGTGTACCTGTAAAAAAGGTACATCCCTCCTTCTGAGGGCCGTCTCGATATCACTGATGGTGGCGGAGAGGGTTTTGATCTGGTCCTTGAGTTTTTCCAGCTTCTCGCTCATCACCTGCTTCTTCACTTCCTCCTCCTGTTTGAGCACCTTCCGCCTGGTGTTTTCCTCCTCTAACAGGAACAGGTGAAGCTTCTCAAACTCCTCCTTAATCGCTCTCTCACACTGATCGGTTTGGGTCTGTGGTGATGAGTGAGCGGGTTATTTTAAGCACTAAACAACAGGAATGTGTATGTGTTGTGCTCGCAGACTTTCCTAGCAGTGCACCGCACACATTTTTACTGGCACAACATTTGTACTGACTTCCTACCTGTATGTAGCTCCTTGTTTCCTCCCACTGCCCCTTTGTCTTGTTTAACATTCTGAGCTTTTTCTTTAAGGGCTCCAGCATGTCTGATATTTCTTTCTGAAATGTTCACAGAAGAATCACGAGTTAAAGTCTGAAGCTGAGGCAATTTATCAATCCACCACCTTGATACTGAAATTGGCTGCTTTCCCTGGTTTTATCATTCATCATCTTACTAAGTTTGTTTGAAGTTTTGACACTTGAAGATGTCTTATTGGCCCCTTGGTCATTTTTTGATGAGCATTTGTCACTATTTAAACAATACTGATGTTTAACAGACTCAATGATTAACAACTGGTACATAAATGGATAAGGAAAGTTATCGTGTAACACTATGGACTAAACTGAACAACCACTGTGTTGGAGTGAATTTTAAGTAAACATCACAGCTGTTTTTGGTTTGACTCTACCTTTTTCTGTCGTGCTGCCTCCTCCAACGGGCCGAACTTGTGAACTTTATGCTTTAGTGATGTTTGGCAGACGAGACAGATGGGCTCTTCGTCATTGTGACAAAAAAACTGAAGCTTCTCGGAGTGAATACAACAAGCTTCCAGATTCCCGGTCATCATCTGCGTTCGATATTTGTCCACAGCTATCTTTAGTTGCAAATTGATAGGAGGCCTCCCAGGCCCAGCCACGGCACCACACACAGGACATTCTCTGCATCCTTTCAATTCCCAGAATTTCTGTAAACAATGTTTACAGATATTGTGGTCACAATTTAAGACAACGGGAAGCCAGTAAATCTCCTTGCACTTAGGACAAAGTAAGTCCTCTTCAGACGGTGAACCTGTTGCTGCCATCAGTTTGAAGTGTTCCTGTAAGTGGAATTCAAGAATATCTTTCTTCCTGTTACTCAGGTGTTGAACGTAGGCGGTACAGCGTTGTTGAAAGTTAAGGTAAATGCAGGAAATACTAGTATGACTGGTTGAAGACATATTTCCACATACTGAGCATCAAATCTGTCACTGTTATGTCACATCAACCGACTGACATCCACTTTCAGTTTGGTAATACAATAAACAAAATCTTTTAAAACATGTAAGCCTACATGAAAAAAAAAACAAAGCAGCCCTAAAATCAGAGAGTTGTAACACCTGATTCAGTTTCAGTGAACTTTATTGTCCATAATTAAAAGGTTTCCATATTTGACACAGTAACATGTTCCAACTCAATGCATAAATATATCAACAATGCATTTGTTTCCTAATCTATATCTTTAAAATCACGGTTATAACAACATGATGTCTAGAAAACATTACAACTCTACATGTGTGTAAATTATGTGTTAATACTGCAATAATCCTCTGAGGAGGGCGGAGCTTAGAGGCAGAAACAGAGGTAGTTTAAACTGTTACAGATGAGTGGCTGCACTCTCAGTCAAAATCTTATTCATACCCCAGAACCAATAAATAAAAAGTGAAGTTAGTATCATTATGCTTTACAAAAAGTTTACCGTGGACTGTGCTAACAGGTAAACAGAGAATCATCGTTATTTTGGCTGTGGAGACCTCAGATGTGGTTCCCAAGAGAGGTCAGGTAGTGATGGCCGAATGAGAATCATAAAGTAAGTGCTTGTGCAGTAAAAGTAAATATGTTGGTCTATCTTTTTCTCATGCTGTCGACCCTTTTTCACGTTAGAGAAAAAGAGAGAGAAGTATTTTAAATCCATTCCTCACAGTTATTTCAACTAGTTCATCCCTTTCCTTCTACTTTCAATGTTTCTAAAAGGAGTGATATTAGAAGGATTTTCCCCCTCATAGTACTTAGTATTTGTTTTAGTCAAATAAGTAAACATATACAGGGGTTTAGAGCCGTGGTTCTCAACTGGTGGGTCGGGACCCAGTAGTGGGTCGCGAAGTGTGCCTGGAAAAAAACTTGTATTAAAAAGTCTGTGAAGTGCTTTTTGAAGATGTTTGTTTTGTTCAGTTTCTTGCTTCAGAGACCTGTGTTGTATCGGCCGAGATCTAAACCGAACAATTTTTCAGTAAATGAATCTGATTGGTCGAAAACGATCCAAAATTTGGGTCACGTTTTTTCTCGGAGTAGTTAGATGTGGGTCCTGAGGTCAGATGAGTTGAGAACCACTGATTTAGAGGGGTACTATTATTATTAGAAATGTGGAAGTGGTTCAACGTTTGAGGAAAAATGAACTAAAAAAATCCTTGATCATTTCATTTGATGACTTTTTTTCTACATTTAAACGTGTTTAAAACAATTTGACACAAATATTAGGAATATGAATGGTGAAGCCACTGTATATTAAGAAATGCTATTAAATAAACAATTCTGAAGTGAGTGAATACATGGACACAGTTTGATATAATCCATCTTTGTGACTCAGCAGCATTGTGAATAAAACATGCAACAAGATCTGGATTTGCCCTCTAGCCACAATCAAATAACAAATTCACATTCAAATAACAACACAAGTAAATAATCTCAGTTTGAATCATTCCATTTTACAAGTTAATTAACATCTACATATGACTAAATAAATGAAAACTACGGAAGCCTAGAGTGGACATGCACCCATACATTGTATTGACTCGTCTTCCTGTGGTATGAAGTGATTTCCAGTTGTTTTCTTGAGATCTCGACTTGTTCTTGTATCTCAAGAAAACAAAATCTTCTCCGGATAATGGGATCATTTTCTGGTGATCCAGAAAACTAAGCAATAGGCCGATCACTTGATAGGTCAGACTCCATCATGCCTACACTAATGAGGTAACTTAGACTATTTCTGTTTCTTTTTTTGTGTTTTGGCAACTCTGGAGATACAGGTTCATACATTTAAAGCTCAAGAAAACAACCAGAAATAAGGCATCCTGGGAAAACAGAGCAAATAAAATGTCTGGATGGATGCATGCATTAGGGCTTCTGTAGACAACACTACGTTAAAACAAACTGTAAGTATCCCCCTATAAATAATGATTTGACAAGTGTGTAATTGGTCAAAGTAGATCCTTTCCCAATAGTTTCCTTCTCAACAATATTATTTGTTATCAGACGTAAGAGTAAAACATTCCCAGAAATGGATGGAAAAGTAATTTCTGCTCCTTTATCAGCAAACAAACGAAACAAAGAAACAAACATAAACAGCTGCATATACTTGTTCTGTAAAGACATACTAGTTCTGAATATTTAAGAGACCTTAGTTTGTTTTTAGATTTTACAAAACACCTCATGTAAGTCAAACTTTGCATACACATAACATGAGATAGTATGTACATGAATACATAAATACAGTAATAAATATATGTATAGATGTTTGACATGGCTTTGTGCTCTGATTTAAAAAAAAAAACATCAGAAAACTGTTGAATACAGAATAAGTGGAAGTGTTGTAAAAGATTAAATAACAAGCCTTATGCCAATGATTAAAGATTGTTTTGTCTTGATTCGACTGAACAGTTCCTATGCTTCAAATAAAAACTCAAGTCAAAAATCCCTTTGGGCGGTCCATTTTCCGTCAGATTTTTAATTCTGTCATAAACTGCGAGTCAACAGAGACGATGCAGGCCCTTTTTTTTCCTTCAGCTTATATGGAAATGTACCACTGTCAGTTATACCGCCTCAGTCAGCTGTAACTCTCAGACTGATGTCCGTCAAAACACGGAGGCCTTTAAAGAGTCCTCAGAGCTGCACTCTGACACACTCTGGCTTCAGTTCAGCATCCTCTGCACAGAGCAGTGGATTCTTCCTCACACATCTTCAGCTCATCCTTCGGCCGCCTGCTGATTTTTAGACCAGTCAGCAGCCTGTGAGGCTTCACGCTGTGTCTGCAGATCCAAATTGACAAACACAGACTGACAATCAGACGAATCCAGGCTTAATGGAGGACTTGAAACATTTAGGACAACCCTTTGTCCCGTTTGTCTGCAGACACCTGGAGGAACAAAACACACTTGTGTGAGAAGCTTTAATTGTTCCAGTGAACATGTTAATATTAGAGTATTCCCTTGACTAGACTGTGATTGTGTTTTAACCTGGACACTTCATTTGGAGGCAAAGTTGCATGTGCAGAACATCAAATATAAAAGATCCACTCAAACATTCACACTGAAGTTTGTGTGTTAAATTATTCATTAGCACACAATGCTAGATGGAACACCCACTTGAGATGGAAAATGTGGGAACAGGGTAAGGCCTGCAGTTTTTGGTCCCTGTCCCCGATGGCCTCTCCACACATGCCGCAGTAGAGCTCCAGCTCCTCCACACACTGCAGGAACTTCACCACCTGCTCTCTGAGCTCCTCCTGCTGACCCCGGCTCCGATGAATCCCTTCACTCAGGCAGTGGACCTTCAGCGTGCACAGCTTGAGAGTACATATTAGAAAAAGACAGTCACATTTTCTGGAAACCTTCTTTTTTTCTTTGCAGATTTATCTTTTGTCCATCAACCTGTTAATCAATAATCGTTCTAGCTCCCTCCTTATGTGTTTGTTTCCTTGTTGAAAAGCATTTCTTACCTTGTTTCCCATCCCATCTGCCAATTCCTGTGCTCGTTGTAGGGAATCGAGAGCCTGGAAAATAACCAACGAGGGAGGCCCCGGTCATAAAATACAACATTTAACAAATATGTTGTATTTGGAAAGTGAAATTTAGAACAAAAGTATAGTTACCTTGTCAAATTCTTTCTGCAAAAGCCAACACTTTGCAACTCCCAGGTAGACTTGTGATTGTCCCAGACGGTTTCCGATCTCAGTCATGATTGCCAGCGCAGACTCATACCGAGGGAATGATTTCTAGTTTGATGAAGAGAATAGAATCAAGCTCACTTCATAGATGCAAAGGTAATAAACATTTAGAGGAAAATAAAACAAGGGAAGGCACCTTACATCAACGTCTCGCCTGCAGCGGTGTATGTCTGCAAAGTTCAGTAAGCACAGAGCCTGCAGAGGACGGTCACCGTGCTGCAGAGCAATCTTCATAGATTCCTGTTCAAGGGGAAAACAGACCAACTGCTGACATGCATGATTGGAAATTTAAATTATGAAAAGCAGCCAAACACTGAAAATCATTTTGGACTATTTGAATGTGATGATAAGCAAATTAAACTTTTAAATAAGCCAGCTTTCTACAGCTGTTGTGTATAAAATACTTTGTAAAATAAACTCTAATTAGTGATGCATACACTTAAAGGGGAACATTTTGAGAAAAAAAATCTAATAATGAGAGCCTTTAAAGGTGTTTATACTGCGACTGACAGCTGTATATAATGAAAGCATTTCTAAAAACAGCATGCAGTGTTTCCATGTATCAGTTTCAGTATATTTTTAAGTAAACCGCACATAGATGTGTGAATGTGAGACATTTGTTGTTTCACCTTGTACTCTGGAATTCGAAATATGACAAGATGTGTAAAGTGTTTGCTAAATGTGTTTGGCAAATGTAACAAATCTGAAATGCGCCGTGCCGTCTTGTTACTATACTTCTGCGCTCCAAGGCAATGACATCAAGTTATTTTTCACCCTTAGTACATAATTAGAACAGGGCCAATACTGAAGCCACCCTCTTCATTAACACTTTAAACCAGTGCCTCTGAGAGCATATTTTAGTCGAGGTCTAAGGCCCTCGCACAACAGAACAACTGGCGCCTGCACCTGTCAGCAGCACAACATCTACTGTAGGCTATCTGCAGCACCGGAATCAGAAAGGCATAGAAGGCATCCACTGAGTGAGGAAAACAAAAACTGAGACATTCTCCACACTGTGATGTTTGTCTCTCTGAAGGACGGTTGTCATGTGATGGACGGTAATTGAAACAATACCTCACAGCACTCCATTGCGTCTGGCAGGCGCTCCAGTTTCCTGTAGGCTACAGACATGTGGTACTGGCTCATGGCTCGATACTTGAGGCTCCAACCTTTGCCATAGTCATTGACGAGCTCAGCTGCCTTGCATGGGAAGAACAGGGCCTTCTCATAGTCCTGTTGGTAGAGGTGCTTGATGAGTAAGACCCTCAATGTTCAATTATTGTCCACAAGTGGCTGCATCATTTAGATTACTATACTGACATGCACTTTCGGTTCGTAACTCGGTTTCTGTGAGGGTCTTTTATGTGTCTTCCTTGTCATGCTATATGTTTTCTTTCATCAAATAACACGACATATGAGAGTGCATTCTTCAAAAGCTACTTCATCACAATCCCATTGGAATCAATCCCCCCTGGGAATGCGAGGGATTACTCTTACAAATCTCTGATGTCAAGGGTACTACATAAGCCCCCCCCCCCCTGCCAGTGTACTCACTCCACCCTTGTTTTACAACGCCTAGTGCTGCACGGGCCAACCAATGATAACATTTGCGCGGATACTCTGCAGTCTTATCGTAGTATGCAAATGTGTCGGCATCGTCAATATGGATTATGTAATGAAGGTGCACTTTGTAATTCATCGAATGATTTACCAAGAGAAACCAGCAGCGATGAAAAGTGTTTTAGATTTTTGCAGCTTGGAAAATGTTCTTTATCGTTTTAAAATATCTCATTCAAGAAACAAAGAAATACAAAGACTAGGATGTAGTATTTTCAAATAATCTCAATAGCTGGACTCCATATAAAAGCACCTTAAGATGAATGTAGATGTTCCCCAGACTGCAGCAGACTCTGCACTCCAGCATCTTGTCGTCGTTGTTGTGTGCGTAGCGCAGAGCCTTCTCGTAGCTCTCCAGAGCTTTCTGGAAGACACTGAGACCCAGGTAAGCGTTCCCCATGCTGAGACACACCTGGCCGTTGAGCTGCAGGCTGACCGTGGTACCCTGCATGTTCAAGCAGGTCTTGCAGTAGGATACTGTTTTCTGGAAGTCGCAGAGCTTCTCGTTGCTGCGCGCTAAGTTCAGGTATCCCTCTGTCAGATAGTCTGGGTCTTCCATTTCTCTGGCTGTGTCGATTTGATCCAGGGCATACTACAAACAGAGAGCGAGGATGAGAACATTCCATGGTACAGTTTCGATAACAAGTTGAAGGTAAATTCAAATAGACAGTGAACAAAAAAAGTCAAGAGATTCATTTCTTCTCTGTATGAAGCCGTCATTAAAGCTGGGTGGAAGAGAGCTGGTGCTGCTGCACACAAGATGATTATGTCAACAAGACACCCCACACTGATACTCAGGTTGCAGGACACTTATTTACTCTGCATCGTGTGGAAGCCACAAATTAACCCATGCTTCTCAAGATCACCGTTAACGGAACCAAAAAGGGTGAACCTCGGGCCGCTTCTCTTTAAATAAAATGCTTTTGGAATCACACAGCGGAAATGTTAAAATGGTACTGCGAGATGAAGTGTACCAACGCTGAGCAGACATGACGACATATTAAATTGATGAGTTACTTAATGGCATTCAGCCTCACTCACACACACACACACACACACACACACAGAGTGCATGTTGCATAACACTAAATATGATCACACAGTATCAGAATTGTGACAAATAAACTAACCACATAACCAAAACAAGCCACATAAAAAATAAAATTATGAAACATTCATTAAAGAAAAACAAATATCTTAACATACTTAAATCTGCAAAGATGGAATATACTCATCAATACTCACTTATATTACAGAGTTAACTAAGCTGTATTCAGCTATTGAATGCAGCATGCTAATCTATAGGAGGCTTACCTTGAGCATATCTTTGTATTTTCCCATTTCTGAGTGAGCTGTGATCAGACACCCCAACACACGAAACTTCCCTCCGGGATCCGAGGTTTTCTCCAGCACTTTTGTCCAGACATTCAGAGCTTTGTCCGTCTGATTGGACTGGTACAACCTCAGGCCCTTCTCTATCTGCTGCTTGGTTTGGTCCTGGCCCATCTCTGGTGCAAGGCGCCTCATAAAAATATTCATTAGTTTAGGCCATGCAATTTCAGTGAGGCGGCAAGAAAGTAGATCCTTTCCGTACACTGCACAACTCCAAAGAAGATCCCGTGAAGATGATCCTGTGAGAGGTCGGAGCCAGAAAGGCCTACCAGATCCCGCTTTCTCAGCTCCGGCTGTGCTGAGACCGAGAGGAAACTGGATCCACCCGAGTCAAACAGCGATACACCAAGACCATTATCACCCGTCACTGCGTGGAGAGCTCTAGAGCCAGAAGAAATAACTTCCACATATAACCCTGTTAGGATCCCCTGTCAGCAACAAGTGCTCCAAAATTCTCACTTGGATTTCCGTTTGAAAAATGCCAAAGAAACACGTTTCTCGGTGGAGTGCTAGCACAGATATCCCAGAATATCTACTCCCTCCACACCCCAGCAAAAGGAATTCTCATCCTCCCCCCCCCTGTGTCCAACCCCCCCTCCACCTTCCTCCTACTGCTGGCGCTACAGCAGATGGCCTTGTCACTCTAGACCATGTGTCCCTTCAGGAATTCTGTCCTGCCCTCAGCAAGCGGTCCCAAGGTCACTTCAACTCCTCACAACCCATCTTCACACTAAACCTCGACCGCTGACCAAACACCGGACAACACATTTCCACATCACAACCCTCTTTAAGCATTAAAACAAACACATATCCACAAATGGGGACTTCAAACACGTGGGACTGACATCTGTGATACGGAGGTTATAAACAGCTTTATTGCCCCACATTGAAGGACTGCATGTCAGACGGTGCTCGTAGTGGCCGTCCGTTCCTATTGGGAGTTCTTATAGGGGCGCATATGTGCCCCTAGAAACCCCCGCCCCTCGTCTTGGCGTCAGCAACTGATGCTTAGAATAGTTCACAAAGTCTGACATGTTACTGGGTTTGGGTTTCAGCTGCACAGCCTCCTGCAACACTTCAATGGGATCATAGTTTTGGCCTCTCTGTACTATTGTAGCTTTCTCTCCTTCAACTGCCCCTTTTCCCTCGCCCCTCCCGAAGGACAAAACGAGCACCTTTGCCCCCGAAAATACCACCTACCATCCAGAGTATGCATCACATGATCCAGAGATACTGTTAGGAGCCTTTGTTAAGGCAGATCTTTTCAGTAACAAAGTGCATTCCAAATGAATCTCTGCATAATTGCAAGAAGAAAAGTTGTAATAAACATTAAAGCTCCTGTGAGGATTGTTTCACTTCACATTTTGGCAGCCCCTTCTTCTTCTCTCTTTGCTGACATGGGGGGGGGGGGGTTCTGCAGTGAGTTGTTTATCATCTCGTCTGACACCTACAGAGCTGAAAGAAATATAAACATGCTAGGTACAAGCAATCAATCTTCTCCTTGATAGTCTTGTTTTTCAGCGGGTGTCATTACTAGCTAGAAAGTCCTCACAAGAGCTGTAATAGCAATAGATAGTCGACTTAGGAAAGTAAATGTTCCATCAATGTCATAACAAACGACGAGAGCTTGTAGCTACAGCAATATATGTTTGACTTTCTTTTATGTTAACAGTTTAGCATGAACATGTACACTGTACTGTACATCCAAAAACACAGTCTTTGGACAAGAAACTGACAAGTTAAAAGTTTGCAAACATCCCTGTGTTATGCACATTTGACATCATACAGATACACTGATTTACATAGACTGTACTGAAAGATGTTTTATCTTCAGTAGAGTTTTCATGCTTATGAAAAAACAAGCAATGCACAGGAAACTATGTTGATTATTTCATCACTGGTTACAGCATCACCACAAAGTACATCGCAGCAAAGGGATTCACAATGAGAAACTGTTTTACAACCAGGTGACAAACGTACACACACACACACTGCTGAACAGCTTTTTTTCAGGTCTGATGGTGAAGACAGAAAAGTTGAGTAAATACATTTAGAGCAGGATGCCTGAGCGGTAAAGTCATGATTAGTTATCGAGCGGTCTTCCCTGATTGTCCGTGGCATCTTCATGGACCACACTGTGAACATCCAGAGGAGAGTTTAGGCCAAAACAAACTGCCAGTTTGTGAGGAGGATTTTAATCCCCCTGATGACAGAGACAACAGACGTCGCTGGGTTAAACTTCAATGTGTTTGCGTCCCCTTTCTTACATTTGTCCCTGAAGACGTAAATGCAGCCGTTACAGCTGGCCACCTTCCACAGTGAGGGGACACAGCTCCACACCTCGGGGAAGCGCAGGCGGGTGAAGCTCTCCAGCAGAGGGTTGTAGCACACCAGGGAGTCTCCCTCTGCCACGATGAAGATCACGTCCATGTGAACTGCGGCGTGCATACAGCCCGCGAACGGCAGCATGTAAGGTTTGATCTGACACTTCTGAGACGCGGTGTCGAAGCACTGAATCAGTCGAGACGGCTTAGTAAAGAAGTCCATGTCATTCTCCTCCCCTCCGAGCAGGTAAATGGTACCGCCCAAGTTAACACCCGCAGCCCCAGACACCGCTGTATCCAGCTGGCTGGTCTCTGTCCACATGTTGTCCTTCACTGTGTAGAAGATGACGGCGTTAGAGAGTGTGTCCTGTAATGTCTTACCTCCAAGGGAGTAGATGGCGTCCTCGGAGGAGACAGAGACCATGGTGTGATGGAGGCGATCTCTGGGCAAAGGGGCACAGCGCTCCCAGTCCATGGTGTGCATGTTGCACTTCCACATACGGCGAGGGATGGACCCCCCCACCACGTACAGGTCACCGCCGTGTTTACAGGCTGCAGTGATTTGATGGCACAAACTATTCTGTCCACTCACACTGATGGCATCGTCCTCGTCACAGTGAAGGGACACAGCCAAAGAGTGAGTCCGAGCCTCCTCTTTACCGATCAGGTAAATGTGGACGTTCTCACCTATTTCCTGAAGAAACAGAGAAACATTAAGCATCAGAGATAACATTTTTTTTATTACAGCAGGCAATAATTGAAATGTGTTTTTTTAACTCTACATTAAAAGACTATTACCTTGAGATTCTCTTGGAGGATACAAGAGAACTCCTCTCTCTCCACCTTGTTGTGGTTTATCCACGACTCGATGGCCATGGTTGGATTTTGGGAGCTCGGAACTCCATCTGAACACAAACCAAAAAAATGTAGTGCATCTTGTCACTGAGTCGTGGGAAAGCGAATAGTTTTAAGGCAGATGGGAAACAAGGACTGAGAAGCAGGGGATATTCTAGCTATGTGCTAATTGTCTGTAACATTCAGCTGAAAGTAGGCCAATTAAAATGTGAATTCAAGCTCATTATGAATATGCACATGTAACATAAAAAACACGTTCATCATACCCTATTAGTTAATTTTTCACATCACATGGATATAAAAAACATACATTTTTTAAAATATTTGGCTGGTTCAATAATTGAATAATGTGCATTTTGGGGGAAATAAACAAAAGCTTTTCAGACCACATGGTTGTGATAGGTCAGCAGGACATAATACCTTTGATGATGTCCAGTAGAAGACAGAGAGGCATATTCTGAAACTCTTCAGTCTGATGCAGCTGGGTCAGGTGGATCTTAGCACAATGCTTGGCTGCAGTATACAACTCCTGGTCACTGTGTCTGTCTGCAAGCCACATCACCTGAGCGAAAAAAACAAGCACTCATTAAACTGAAACTGCACAATCATTACTAAGTAACAGAGACTGCCGTACTTTAAAAAAAACAGTACCACACCTGCAGGCAGTTCTTGACCTCGACTGTCCGTGAGAGGAAGCGGGAGCACTCCTCAAAGAGCGCTGTCAGTTGGTACATATCTGCCATCTCATAGGTATCCTGCAGTTCCTCCACCCTCAGTTTAATTGTGCCGTGATAGATATAGTCAATCAGCAGCTGAAAGACAGTGGCACTGACATCCTTCAGCTCAATAGAGCGGTTGTGGGACTCTTTGAGGTTGGACGTGAACATGGAGCGGAAGAAACTGCTCTGCGCAGAGAGCACCAGCCTGTGCAGGTGAAACTCTTTGCTGTCAACGTTGATGGTGACGTCGGCGAACAGGCCATCCTCCAGACACAGGTCCATGATGCTCTTCACCACACGGCTGGAGTGGGATCGGTCGGTGAATGTGTAACCCAGGAAGTAGTTCTCCTCTCCCACTGAGCCCCCAGCACTGAGGCCCCCATCCTCGCTGGTCTCCATATTTGTTGCTCACCTGAAAAAGCCACAAAACAGTAGAGCATCTTTTAAAACACAGTCAAAAGGTTTGATTTTCAGATGCTGGAGAAACTTGCCTTGAGGTGTGATAAGAACATACAGTATTTGTCAATATTTTTCAACTTTTTTTGAATACAAATATTTTTAATATAATAAAAAGATTACATATAGAACCTTTATATTACCTTTTTAAAGGCTTTTCCAAACATTATTTTAAATGTAAATATTTTAAAACACACTGACGCATGCCTAATTTTTAAGATTATCAATGGCAAGGCTCCCCCACCACTCTGCACTTTTATACAGCAGAAAAAAATCCAACAGCAGAACCACAAAGTCTGCCCTAAGAGGGGACGGTGTAGTCCCTCTTAGGTCCAGCTCCTTTGGTCAATTATGTTCCTCTGTGAGAGCCTCTAAATTATGGAACCAATTGCCAGTGGAGATTAGAAATTGCACCTCCCACCATACATTCACCCACCGTCTTAAGGACTGGCTTTTACTCAATCAAAAATGTGAACACCTTTTATAGTATTTAATCTGAGTGCATGTTTGTCTGTTGCTATGTATTGTTGTAGCTGTGCTGTCTAACCCATGGTGGTTTGTATGAATGGTTGTATGGTTATATGTTTTAATGGAGTCAGTATATTGGCATCATGTTATACTGCTGTTATCTGTTGCTGTGTGTATTCTTGAACATGTTCTTCATATGTGAATGTTTATGTTTGTATATATGTGTTGTGTGTTTGTATATGTGTTTGTATATATGTGTTGTGTGTTTGTATATATGTGTTGTGTTGTGTGTTTGTATATATGTGTTGTGTGTTTGTATATATGTGTTGTGTTGTGTGTTTGTATATATGTGTTGTGTGTTTGTATATATGTGTTGTGTGTTTGTATATATGTGTTGTGTTGTGTGTTTGTATATATGTGTTGTGTGTTTGTATATATGTGTTGTGTTGTGTTGTGTTGTGTGTTTGTATATATGTGTTGTGTTGTGTTGTGTGTTTGTATATATGTGTTGTGTGTTTGTATATACGTGTTGTGTTGCGTGTTTGTATATATGTGTTGTGTTGTGTGTATGTATATATGTGTTGTGTTGTGTGTTTGTATATATGTGTTGTGTGTTTGTATATATGTGTTGTGTGTATGTATATATGTGTTGTGTGTTTGTATATATGTGTTGTGTGTTTGTATATATGTGTTGTGTGTATGTATATATGTGTTGTGTGTTTGTATATATGTGTTGTGTGTTTGTATATATGTGTTGTGTTGTGTGTTTGTATATATGTGTTGTGTTGTGTGTTTGTATATATATGTTGTGTGTTTGTATATATGTGTTGTGTTGTGTGTTTGTATATATATGTTGTGTGTTTGTATATATGTGTTGTGTGTTTGTATATATGTGTTGTGTTATGTGTTTGTATATGTGTTGTGTGTTTGTATATATGTGTTGTGTGTTTGTATATATATGTTGTGTGTTTGTATATGTGTTGTGTGTTTGTATATATGTGTTGTGTGTTTGTATATATGTGTTGTGTGTTTGTATATATGTGTTGTGTGTTTGTATATGTGTTGTGTGTTTGTATATATGTGTTGTGTGTTTGTATATATGTGTTGTGTGTTTGTATATATGTGTTGTGTGTTTGTATATATGTGTTGTGTGTTTGTATATGTGTTGTGTGTTTGTATATATGTGTTGTGTGTTTGTATATATGTGTTGTGTGTATGTATATATGTGTTGTGTTGTGTTGTGTGTTTGTATATGTGTTGTGTGTTTGTATATATGTGTTGTGTTGTGTTGTGTGTTTGTATATATGTGTTGTGTGTATGTATATATGTGTTGTGTTGTGTGTTTGTATATATGTGTTGTGTGTTTGTATATATGTGTTGTGTTGTGTTGTGTGTTTGTATATATGTGTTGTGTTGTGTTGTGTTGTGTGTTTGTATATATGTGTTGTGTTGTGTTGTGTTGTGTGTTTGTATATGTGTTTGTATATATGTGTTGTGTTGTGTTGTGTGTTTGTATATGTGTTTGTATATATGTGTTGTGTTGTGTTGTGTTGTGTGTTTGTATATATGTGTTGTGTGTTTGTATATATGTGTTGTGTGTTTGTATATATGTGTTGTGTTGTGTTGTGTTGTGTGTTTGTATATATGTGTTGTGTTGTGTTGTGTTGTGTTGTGTTGTGTGTTTGTATATATGTGTTGTGTTGTGTTGTGTTGTGTTGTGTGTTTGTATATATGTGTTGTGTTGTGTGTTTGTATATATGTGTTGTGTTGTGTTGTGTTGTGTTGTGTGTTTGTATATATGTGTTGTGTTGTGTTGTGTGTTTGTATATATGTGTTGTGTTGTGTTGTGTGTTTGTATATATGTGTTGTGTTGTGTTGTGTGTTTGTATATATGTGTTGTGTTGTGTTGTGTGTTTGTATATATGTGTTGGTTGTGTGTTTGTATATATGTGTTGTGTTGTGTTGTGTGTTTGTATATATGTGTTGGGTTGTGTGTTTGTATATATGTGTTGTGTTGTGTTGTGTTGTGTTGTGTTGTGTGTTTGTATATATGTGTTGTGTTGTGTTGTGTGTTTGTATATATGTGTTGTGTTGTGTGTTTGTATATATGTGTTGTGTTGTGTTGTGTGTTTGTATATATGTGTTGTGTTGTGTTGTGTGTTTGTATATATGTGTTGTGTTGTGTTGTGTGTTTGTATATATGTGTTGTGTTGTGTTGTGTGTTTGTATGCATGCTGGCTGCAGGAACACTTACATTTCCCTGCTGGGATGAATAAAGTATATCTTATCTTATCTTTATCTTAAGAAGTAAATCATTGTAAAACAACAACAAAACTGAATGAGATAAATCCTAAAGATATAAAGATATCAGGTATTCCTCTGTGATGTAATGATTCATTGTTGATGTAGACTGCATTGTTTTTAAGTAGGTGTGTGTACAAATATTTAGAGTGATGGTAAAAACAGGCAGCTGCAGAAAGCTTCGACACATAGTTAAACCACAGAGTTATGCAGGATGCTGAAGGATTTCCTAACATGCTTATTAATAGACAACGTGTGTAGTTATGATTAGCTAGCATTAGCATCACCACTTAACTGGATGACGTTGTCTCATGTGAGAGTTCAGCCCTGATATGGAGGATATACTTTTGACTGGGGACAACAAATGACACAACGTTTCATAAAGTAATGTTAGTTAAAATCACAGATACCTTTATCCCGACCACTTTACCATTCAGAAGCAGGTGAACTCTTGACCGGAAGTAAATACAGTGTTTCATCCATCGCTGAGCTGTGACGCCACTGGAAACGACCCGCTTCTATCAACTGGCGACACCATGTGGGGAGTTGTGGTACTGCAGTGTATTTTGTTAAAACCCTTATTTATAAAAAAAAAAAAACTGCCACATGATGCTGTCTCCTAACTCGCTAGATTTAATTTGTTTATTATTATTAATAGATAATTTGATATGAGAGGAGCCACTTTCAGACATTTTACAGTAAACTATTTACTTAATTAGCTTTTATGGTTAGTGACTTCAGTTGTTGTGATAAAAAAATAATGCTTTTGTTTCAGATCTCTCATCCAGCTCCAACTAAACCAACGAGGTGAGCTTACATTTATCCTATAAATGCTTGCTCAGGAGTTTTAATCCAGCCCAAACCTATGTATTCTGTGAGATAGATCAGGAGACTATTAAACAGGTTGTTTTCCAACATAGATCGAAGCAGAAATGCTGGTTGACATCTCTGAGCTGGCTTCACCCACTCATAGTTTGATGAAGAAAGAAGAAAATGGATGTTGTTGATAGTAGTGTTATTAAACTACATGAGAACTTTACGGTGATTGCAAATATCTTAAACTAAGGCCCCAAAAGAGAATTGGAAGCCTAAATGACATTAACTTGCAAATTCTCTTCAGATAATGAAGGACGAAATACTTTTGAAGACTATTTTTTGTATTTCTTTATGAGAGGGACCCAAACCACAAGTTGATTTATGTAGACTTAATGGATGTTTAGGGATGTTTTTAGTTTTTATATTGTTTGATATGAACACACTGGCAATCTTTTGGTAATGGCTTCAATGTTTCTGTGATATTTTCTTTAATGGATGGAGATTCAAGTTTGTTGCCTGCATTAGATTTTTTTGTGCGTAGAGCTCTGCAAGCTGTGGATGAAAAGAATCAGAATTCATAAAATATTGTTTTATGCTCCGCAGCTGGGCTAACTTGGCTTTTGATCTCTTTTTCCTTGGTGGAAATATGCAAGGTATTTAGGCTGAGTTGCTCCTGCCTGGATTCATAAAAAGGGAGTGAGGAAGAAGAGAGATAATAGAGGGATGATGTTCATTGTCTGCCTGTAGCCATCGAGAGAAGAATGAATATGAAAATGCAACTTAAAATCTGCCTTACGGTCTTTTTGTGGCTTCATTTTGAGCATTTGCTGCAATGTAAGTAGACTCAGAGGATCTTTTAACAGGACTGACATTTTTGGGTCGTGACACATTGATACTGCATGAGCTGTTAAATGTACAAAGTGTCTGTGAATGCAAGCTGTTTGCAGTGATTTTTTTTTTTCAATCATGCCACTTTAAACTTTTCTTCTTTAGATGTTTCTGCAGGCACTCATCCAGCCTCTATTACGAATGCAAACCTGATGTTTGAGGTACTTTCTCATATCACATACAACAGAAGAATACTTGCAGAATAAGTGATCAATGTCTCTTTGTATCCTGTATGCAGTTCTTACTGGGCGGGGTAGAGCTCGACCAGGACAACAACATTATCCTCCACGACAAGGAGCTGGCATCGATGAGGCCGGCCAGGGCTTTCCTGTCTCAGATCAATGACAACTACCCCAGAAATCTGAGCTCCATGATGCAGATGGTGGCCACTTTGGAGGGTCGAAGGAGGAGGCCTCTGACTCAGGATCAGTTTGAGAGTCTTACCCTGAGCATGGTGTACTCCGCCCACCGGACCAGGCATCAGGACAGACAGGAGCGGGAGGCCTGGGGTGCAGTGCTCCTCCATTTGGCTAATGTCACAGTTCACGAACTACGCGGAAGTCACCTCTTCAGTTATGACTGATGCACACGCTGACATTTTATATGAGGCAAAGGTGCGTTCAATAAATCCCTTTCCTTACATTCTCATGTCAAGTGTATTCATATATTTGCATGTAATAAAATATTTGTTGCACAAGAGAAGACTCAATTGCATTAGAAAAGTTTTATTATAATACAGTAGAAAAGCTTTTGTGAGAACATACAAGAGTAGAGATAAACAACAAATATATGAAACATTTCTTAACATTCAAACAATCCCTGAAGTTTGAGGCACAACAGAAAATAACAGAGGAATATGCACATCTGTTTTCAGGCTTTTATCCGTTACTTCTTCTGCGTCCGGGATTGTTTTTGTTTGGTAAACACAGTCTTGGTCTTTGTTTTGGTCTCCGATTCTTCCAGAGAAGCAAGCTTCTTCTTGAGCTTTGCGTCCACAGGGAGTCCTCTCCTGTCCCTGCCGGAGCGTGGCTGAGTCCTCCTCTGGCTTTTCAACCCGTCCGCTGAGCTTTCTTTCTCAGCTGTGTCCCGATCGCCGATCAATGACTCGTTTCTGTCCCAGACCAGCACCGTTACACCTGTCAATGAACATTTAGAAGCTTCAGTAACATTAACTCATCAGATAACAACTAAGCAATCACTAAGGTGCTTTATAAAGAACTTACCCATTCCTGATCCAAGCACATCTCCCATTGGATTGAATTTATTGACCTGTAAATAAATATTGTATACGTTTATTGTTTTTGGAAGAATTTTTTTTTTTTTTTTTTCTGGTAAAAAAAAAAAAAATACTCACAGATTTGATCCCTGCAGCATTGGGATCTTGCAGCTGATACACAAGTTCTGCGGTGTTGGAATCAAAGATGTCGACGGTCCTCTTATCACCGGGGGAAATCCGATCATCAGGGTAACGGCCCGCTACAATGAGGTCATAGACAGGGTGCCATGTGGCCTGCAGCCAAAAATACACAGAAGAGCATTATTGTAAAGGCACATTCTTAATCTCATTTTGAAACTTTTTTTTTTTTAAATCTCAAAGTTGTGCAGTACTTTAGGTTTGGTTGGCTGCAACAATAATGTCAATATGAAACAGGGGTGTGATTGGCACAGAGAAAAAAAGCTGAAATTATCCCCCCACAAGTAATTTTTTAGCTTCTTACATTTCTTTTCCTGTGTTTTGATAGAATTTGTGTCTTTTCTGCAGCACATTATAATTATATAGAATTGTGTCCTCTAGTTAGTGTTCATTTGGTAAATATTTGCACAATGTTTAAAACATTAATTAGAATACTTTTGCAAAGGTGCACTTTAAGAGTTCTTGTGCTTTTTTTCCCCCACCAATAGAGGTTTTGAGCTTGCCTACATTAGTGCCTCCCTCGACTTCCATTTAAAGTTAAAGTAAACTTCGGAAGCTGTAAACACACCTGGGCTGAAATATTTTAGTTGTGGGAATCACTGCCATGATTATTTGAGTCTCCTGGGTCAACATTTCAGGTTGGAAAACCTTGAAGTCTTAATAAATCCAGAAGGATCACATCCCTGATGAAAAGGATCCAAAGTGAATAAAGGTTTGGTGTGTGTCTGTAAAGCTACACTGAGGTTTGGTGACGATGTTTGCCTCGAAGTTGTGACTCCAGAGGGAGAAACATACCTTAATGGGTGTGAGATGCTGAAACTGTCTGTGAGGATGTTGGATGATATGTTGAGGCTTCGACCAATCAGGTGACGAGTAGACCCGGATCTGGTCGTACTGGTCAGTGGTGAGCAGCTTTGAGCAGTCCAGAGGGTTAAAATAAGCTGTGAGGAGACGACCATCAGAGTTTTACCAAAATAATCCTGATTTTATCCTCTGTCTGTGTTATTAGACACTAGTGCTCATACATTTTACACTCTTGTTTGGTTTTACAACGAAAATTATATTCTTAAACAAAAAAAGTAAGTAAACTCTACAAACTTTGACTAAACAGAAATAGTAGACTACCAGAGGTCCTTTAAAAGACAGGACCAGAAGAACTTAATCAATCATCTACATTTGCATCACTTAAACTACCAATACGTTCCAATGTTTGGAAATGCATGTTTTGAAAAAAAAAAAGCTGATCTATAAATTTGTAGTAAACCTAACAAGTGTAACTTAATAAAGTTAGCAGTTTCTCTGAGTGAGATCTTTACCTGAGTTGACCGCGCGCTCATGAGGCATTTCATGGAGGAAGCTTGTCTTGTCTTTGATGTTTCTCAGGTCCCACAGCTTCACCGTGTGGTCAACTGAGGCAGTCGCCAACAACCAATCACAGCGGGAGTTGAACTCCGCATGGGTCACTTTGGCTTTGTGCAACCTTTCACCAAAAATCTAAAACATAAATACAGAAACAAATCTTCAAATCCATTCAAACATGTCCTTGTTTGAAAATGCCTTTTCTTGTTTTTTGGCTTAAAGAAGATTTATCAAAATAGAACAAGTCAACTCTCCGTGCTACAAATGCCAACACACCTTCTGCCCATCCAGACTCAGCAGTAACAGCTGTCCCACGTTGTCTCCTGTCACCAGCATCTGTCTGCTCACAGACACATCTACACAGCAGTACCAATAACTGGAACAAACAGAACAAAGGGGATTCATTAGATATAACACATACACAAAATGAAACAGTGTGATGACTAATTATGATCAAAAGGAAAATCTATCAAACTATCAAAAATTAGTTTTCTTACTATTAAAAAATATATATTAATGGAACAATGTGAATAAAACAAACCCTGAACTAGGAACATTTCAGAAACAGGCCACATGAATGGATGTCATTTTTACCACTGCTGTCCAGGGAAACATATGTAGGTATTTCCTACAACTTTTAATTTGAAGGATTTTTGGATGTTTTGGGCTAAAATATAAACAGATAATAAAAAACAAAGCATTTCTTAATGTAATCAAATCTAATTGTAAATGCATGCAGCATCAATATACTTTTGCATATCTAGTTTGAGCATCAGTCTTCTCACCAGACGTCGTGGTGATCGTGGCCACAGTCTTGAGTTCTGGACAGAATGGTGGGCCCGCGGCCCTCAAAGCTCTGCACGGTCAACGTTCCCTGACCAGAAGCCACATAGACTTTGGAAAGGTCCGTTGGGCAGAACTTCATCCCTCCGATAAAGTCTCCTGCTCCGCCCTGTGCAGTCAAACACAAACGCAGGCCAATCATAGGGCAGCTGTTTGCACGCCACTACCTCGCCAACATGAAACAGTAAACCAACAGGGGCCACCCGATGAGAAGACTGATGCTGGGCTGATCAAGCAGACTGCCTACAACCCTTTTCAAGTGTAGCTTTAGAAAAACAAGCTGGTCTACATCTTACTTCAGCGTGTCTGTGTTGGCAAACACTGTTAGAGTTTTTCCACTGAAATCTCGCAGGGCTGTGGTACCCGCAATAGAGGAGGTGAACAGCTGAGTGGGATTTAACTGGTTAAACTTCATGTCTGTAACTGAGTCTCCAGCCCCCATCTGAGTAGGAAACCAATAACAATGTGTCTTAATGTTAAAAAACTCTTCTTTCAACTTTGTTAAACAAATCGACCATCATGCATGAACTCACCCCTTGTAAGAATGTTTTCTTTGCGGGCGCCTTAAAGTCCCACAGGTAGATGTCCCCACCTTTGGAGCCCACAGCTAGAGTGGTGGGGTGAGTGGGGTGCCACTCCAGACAGGTGATCCTGCGGTCGAAGGGACTAGTGGCACCGTGGAAATGATAGGACGATAGTGAGCGGACAAAAGGCTCCTGAAGACACTGGAGGAGAAGACAAAGTTACATGAACAAACTGTCTCCATACACCACACACATCACCTGACTCATAAACCAGTGAAGAAAGAAACAGGCTGTTCTGAGCTGTGGGACTATTTTTTAGCGTATTTAATTATATACACAAGTTGACAGAAATATTTATTTCATACACATACTATGATAGAAATAATTCTAACCTCAGTATTTGTCTTTTAAGGAAAGTTTTAGTGTAATAGTAAAGGTGCAACTATCCCATTATATTTATTTTTGTTTAAGCTGTTGAATACTTTTAAGGCTTTATTATTATTTATGTATTTATTTTAATTCAGTATTTATTTATTTTCTAAAGGTGATCCCATTATATTTATTTTTGTTTTAGCTGTTGAATACTTTTAAGGCTTTATTATTATTTATGTATTCATTTTAATTCAGTATTTATTTATTTTCTTAAGTATTTATCTTCTAGTCTTTGGAAAATTTACCGGAACACTGTTGTGTTTATTTTGACAGCAATAATATGTTTAATTATGCTGATAAAAGACGGACACAAAAAACGATTCCTCAAGCTTAATAAACCGGAAACATTGTTGCACATACTAAGCAAAGAAATGACTTTGAAATACATGAGATCACAGCTTTGGTCACATAACTTAAAGGGTATTTTACTTCAACTTGGTCTTTATTATATATTCTGCAACAACTGAAGGGTAAAAAAAAAAAAACAGTGTGGGTTGTCCTAGGAGCTCCAAAATCATTTTCTACATCCCAGCAAATCTTTGTTTTTACACAATAAAAATAATAATACACAGTCAGAAATAAGAGTGAACAATGATCCTACTTTCACAGTGTTTGCTCCCTATGTACAGTCTCACCTGAAAGCAGCAGTCTCACCTGTCTCATCTGTGAATGCAGACTTTGGCCCAACGTGCTTTTATAAATATAGTGCAGGATGCTTCCATGCCAACCTCTCTTCTGGACTCCTGCAGACTTGGGAGGTGGCGGTGGACCTACAACACACAGCAACCAAACTCAGCTGTCATGACTTCAACAACACATGTCATCGATCTGTCAGGGCTGCTACTCACCTTGAGTGGAAGTCTCTCCATCTTTCAAGCCCGTAGTTTTTTGGAGAGAGTTGGAGCAGAGTTTCCTTTTGTCCTCTTCTTCACTTTACTCTTTGATTCAGAGGCATCTGACTTCGTCGGTCTGTTTCTCATTTTTCCACCTAAAGAAAAATGAAAAACACAGAGGAGTGTAGACAACACGTAGGCGAATCATTTAGCTGCATCAATGAATTGCAAATATATTTCTTACCTTCGATGTTCAGCAGTTTCAGAGCACTGACTCCAGTGTTTGCATAACGCAACAGTACACGTGAGAACTGCAAATGTCCGTGTTTTGTAAGCTGCTGCGTGCTTTACAGCCAGTGGACGGTAGGGGCTCCCTTTCTCCACTACGTCCCTCAAAGGACGCCATGTTTGGTGTTTATATATATAGGACTACAAACTGACGTTAGGCCAACTTTAAATTGAGTGTGATTTAATTTAGGAAAACAAATTAATACAGTGTATGGGAAAAAATAAAGCCTAATGGTGGTTACATTTTAATCATTTAAATGATTAATTAAACCCCCGTTATTTAGTGAACGCAACCATACTGTACCATACATACTATACAATACGGTAGCAAGGCTCTGAGTTGCTGTTTTGTTTATTATTATTGTTTGTATTGTGTCCAAGGACATTTTAATTTGTGCTGCTGCTGTTCGCGTGTATTTGTTTGATGATATGACCGTGAACAGTTTTCGCATTTTTTGGTTGTTTCCGTGGAGACTCGGAAATGACGGCGGAAACACGTGATCGTTTGTTGTGAGATCTGATTGGCTGTTGCCGGCCCCTTTTGAACAGCGTCCCCTGATTCGATGCGGAGGGAAGTTCAAATTTTTAGGAACAGGAACGGCGCAACTAAAGGAAACAGCTAGTAACAATGATACGACAAGCGTAAGTATTATTATTATTACTACATTATTTTGACCTCATTTTAGGTCGCCTACATTGCCCGTACCTGTTTTGCTAAAACCGTGTAATACCGTGTTACGGTTTAAGTTATAGATTTGTCGACGGAATCCAAACAAGGAAGGACTCATTAGCTTAAACTGTAGCCGGGGGGCTAAGTAAGAACCCGTCTAGTCTGTGGCTTTTTCAGTTGATCAACGCTCACTGTTGAGGCTATTTCTAACAATGTAGCTACTGTATTCATGAACTGTGAACTTTATCTTTTTTCAGGAAGGGTAAAACCCCCCGCAGACCCCCCAAAAAGCCCTCCAGCAACCAGAAAGACCCTGTTGGTGTAAGTGTCTTTGAGTTGAGAAGGAATTTAACATACAAAAAAAAGAAGCTACTTTTATGATGTTATATGCGAACAGGTAGATTTTATTGTAGCTTATTAAGACATTTTATATTGCGTGTTTCAATGATCAAATGTGACCCCTCAGGTGTACTGCAGAGTGCGACCCCTGGGTGTGGAGGATAACGAGTGTTGCATTGAGGTGATCAGCAGCTCCACCATCCAGCTGCATGCACCTGAAGGCTTCAAAACAAACCGAAATGGAGAGTACAAAGAGGTAAGGCATCCAGTGGAAATCGAGTAGTTTTTGCACTTTTGCAATTTGTCATCAAAGGTTTTTATCAACTAACCCAGCACATCATTTACCCAATGATCATCTTCCTTAGTGTGTCACTGTTGTACAAAACAGTTAATTTCAAGTATCATCTTGTATGTTGTCTAACGTACCAGATGATTCTTGAAATTAAAGTTAACTAAATACCACTACCAGTTCTGCTGCTGTAAATAGCGTACTGCATGTTTTTTTTTTTTTAACCCGTAGTAAACAAATGCGCCGTTGCTCTTAGTTTAACAGTTTTGTAAACACTACAGGCCCAAATGGTTTTTTGGGAAGGATAGATTATCTACTTCACAGAAAAAGAGCTTGCACTGAAAGAGCCAGTTGAATTTGTTTATAAATGACTCTCTGCGACCCCTCTCTCTGGAGCTTTAGCCATTTCTAACCTGGAAACCTGTAACAACCCTTTTTGGGTTAAAAGTTTTTTTGGGGTGGGTTGAATAATGGTAAAGAAGTATGAGAACAAGAGAGCGCATTGATGGTACGTCTATTTGAGTTCTTTTTTTTAACAATAAGTAAAACCTACAATATCAGCTTTCATTTACTGTAATATTTCTATTTACATATTCTATTTAATCTCCTCTTCTCAGATGCAGTACTCCTTTAAAAAAGTCTTTGGAGTTTCAGTGTCTCAGATCGAGCTGTTTGAGCATGTGGCCAAACCTCTCGTCGACGACCTCATCCGTGGAAAAAATGGTAAGACCTCAGGAACAACTCCACAATGACAAAGAATGTTACTTTAACGCTAAAGCCAACTGTGTGATCTATCTGGTCTAGTAGATCTGTTTTTGACTTCTGAATTTTTCTTAATTTTAACAAATCACAAACCAATAGCTGGTTTGCTCTGAGTTTGTTCAATGCTGTTCAGTCTCTACTTTCTGGTTGCAGGGCTGCTTTTCACTTATGGAGTCACAGGAAGCGGGAAGACATTCACAATGACTGGCTCACCAGGCCAAGGTGGACTTCTTCCTCGTTCACTCGACATGATCTTCAAGAGTATAGGACCCTACCAGGCCAAGAGATATGTAAGATATTAAACATTCAATAAATCTCTTGTAATGCCATTATTTTGTTATACATTGTAAAAGGAATACCTTTCAACTAATTGTAACCCTCTTTTCCAGGTCTTCAAAACCGATGACAAAAATGGTTTGGAGATTCAGAATGAAGTGGATGCTTTGTTGGAGCGCCAAAGGCGGGAAAATAACTTGCCTGTTTCAAAACCTACATCTTCCAGGTAAGCCGAAGTCCTGTGAAATATGTTCTGCCAAGGGAGTATTGTTACGTAAACATGTGTGACATGTTGCTCTTTTCATTTCAGACAAAAGCTGGATCCTGAAATTGCTGACATGATAAAGCCTGAGGAGGCTTTTGAAGGAGATGGGGTCGATGAAGACAGCAGTTACAGTGTCTTTGTATCCTACATAGAAATCTACAACAACTACATCTATGATCTTCTGGAAGAAACCCAGGAAGATGCAATCAAACCAAAGTGAGTTCATGAAAAGAACCCAATTCATTTAAATGTACATTTAAAAGACATTTCTGTTGTGAATAGTCATATTACTATTATATTTAAAGTGTATTGGATTATAGAGGCGTGTTTTTCCTTTGGTCAGAGTAGGTGAAAGACAAAGTTAATGTCTTTTGTTTTTACTAGGTGGAATGGTGGAGGCACACCAGTGCGCCCGAACACTGAGTTCATGTATGTGGACAGTGAATACTCAAACACCAGACATCAGACTCGTTTTCCTCTTCAACATATTCAATGCTGGAGACATTTTCAAATTCAACACAATTCTTATGGAAACTTGTGGTTTAAAAAAAAAAAAAAGTCTAAAACCAGCATTTTCACACAAACTGAAATGCTTGTTATCTTGTTATAAAATGTTTATGCCTATTTCAATAAGAGGCATAAACATTAGACACCGAAACGAGGGCGGGAGCTAAATTCCCATGTCCATTGTGGTTTTTCTCTTGATAGTATACTGAACATATCATTGACACAAGCAATTTGGAAATATGCTTAATATAAAAAAATATAATTTTTACATTTCATGAATAAAATAATAAATTGTATCCACAAAATAATGTCAAAAGGTGTTATAAAATAATAATTAGTTGTCATTCTAAAGCAAAGTCTCTCAACTGTCAAAAAGCAATCAGTAGTACAAGAAGTTTGCATGAATGAAATAGTTAAATTGGCAATTATCTTTTTCCAAAGTCTAGTAATCTCTCTACTCTAGATACATCGAATCAGTGCTCAGACAACATACACGTTTGTTACCCAGCTGTAGCAGAGAGCTCAGAGCCAGAGCTGCTGATCTCAGGCTTCACTCCGTCATGTCTCCAGTGTTGATGAATGTCCTTTTAGTCTACAAATCTTTACACCCCCTCGCTGCTGCTAGTTGTCCTAATCAAGGCAAAGCTCCTGAATGCCCCCCACACCTGCTGTCGCTTTGTTTTGTACTACGTCATTGTTACTTAAAAAAATGTCATGGCTGGAATCAAGCAACTTTAATATCCTCATCCTCGTCTTTGGTAATCACTATGTGTTGCATGAAAGATATTCTCCCAAATCTTCAGTAACTAACGCTGTCATTCTCTCGATGTAGACCTCCTCAATCTAAAATCCTCAGAGAGGATCAGACCCACAACATGTATGTGGCTGGTTGTATGGAGGTGGAGGTCAAGTCTGCTGAGGAGGCTTTTCAAGTATTCTGGAGAGGTAAGTTGTCAGATCTACATTTAAAATCAAAGAATTGATAGAACAAAAGTAAAAAATAAACAAAAAAAACACTGCAGTGATGATGGTAGATGTGACTGACCTGGTATTGCTGACCTCCAGGTTTGCTCTGACCAGGAAATGAACAATGTTAATCTTCTCTCTGAGCAGATCTTGCAAGAGATGTTTTAGTTCCATTTTTTTTCTCTTTGTTGTGCTCCAAATAATGTGTGTTATTTGATTTTTGCATGCGAAAATGCTCTGCTAAACATTGACCTGGACTTGTTTCAGGTCAGAAAAAGAGGAAGGTCGCAAACACCTGTCTGAACCGGGAATCCAGCCGCTCCCACAGTGTGCTCATCATTAAACTGGCTCAGGCTCCTCTTGATGCGGATGGCGACAACATTCTCCAGGTCTGTTGTAAATAACCATATATGACTCACTCTGATTATTTTTGAAGCACCAGTTTTAATATTGTCTGGTCTTTTTTGTCAGGATAAAAACCAGGTGACTGTTAGCCAGCTGTGCCTGGTGGACTTGGCAGGAAGTGAGCGCACAGGAAGGACAGGGGCGGAAGGAACCCGCATACGTGAAGCAGGTTAGGAACCGAAAAAATATTCACATTTTAATTTGATATGTAGCTGATGTACGTTTGAGATTAAACACCTTTCTCACCTCCCAGGGAACATTAATCAGTCTTTGCTGAATCTGAGGACATGCATTGAGATACTTCGAGAGAACCAGATGTGCGGAACAAACCGGGTACGAATAACGAGACTTAAGCAGACTTTATTCCTGTAAAATACATCCTGTAATTTAAAGACTTTTTGATTAATCTTGAAGGTATGATATGAGTACAGTATAAAACACTTTATTAACCTTTGATATGTGTAATGTATCTTTTCTCTTTTAGATGGTTCCCTACAGAGACTCCAAAGTAACACATCTGTTCAAGAATTACTTTGACGGAGAGGGAAAAGTCCGAATGGTTGTGTGTGTCAATCCCAAGGCTGACGACTACGAGGAAACTTTAGTGAGTCCATGCAGCACGTCTCCTATCTGCGTTACTTTATTTGAGCGAATGTGTAAGCCGATTTATTTACTTATTTTGCGTCTCACTAACATGTCGTTCTCTGTTTGTCTAGCTGGTGATGCGGTTCGCGGAGATGACTCAAGAGGTGGAGGTGGCTCGGCCAGTGGACAGGCCCATCTGTGGCTTCACGCCGGGCCGTCGCCATAGAAACCAGGCCTTTAAAGAGGAATTGTCCCGCAAGCTGGAGGAGCGTGGTGGTCCATCTGACAGGGGTGAGTTGTGCATTGTGTGAGCAAATTCTGCCAAAAAAAAAAAAAAGACTAAACAGAAATCAATATTGTACAAGTTACATCTGATTATTCAGATTTAAAGGTGTTGTCACATTCAAAACGTAAAGATGCAAATAACACAAGACCTTCGATTAACATTACTTAATGAACATTATTATTAATGATAACAATACTGTCATTTTACTTGCATGGGATATTGTTGTAAACTTCTATGCAGAATAAAAAGTCTGACTGACAGACCCCATAGCCTCTGTGTGCACTGTGTTCTCTCTGGAGTTCATGGAGTCATCTCTAGTCAAAGCTTTTTTCCACTGCATGCATCCGCCTCAGGTGCTTGCCAGACATTACACTCCACTCTGCTCCGCTAGAAATATGCTTAGGGATTTTTTTTCTTTCTCGTCGGAGGCGCTTCCAACAAGCGTCAAGCTGGAAAGAGCAGATCAACTTATAACTCGAGCATGTCATGTCTGTGCCCTACGCTGCCATGACTTTTGCATTGTTGTTACATGGAGCAAAGCCACGGTGCAGGAAGAATGCAGCGCACACAGATGCTGTGGGGTCTCACTGCGTGACTCTAACTCTGTGTTGTTGTTTTTTTAAATTAGATTTGCCCACTGTTCTCAGCCACATGGTTCACAGCCTCCCACCTCTTCCATCTTGTGAGCTGACCGACCCTCATGATGACATCACCCTGCCCAGACTGATCGAAGCTCTGCAGAACAGATACAGGATCAGGCAGATGATGATCGATGAATACAACCAAGCAGGTGCCCACTTACTATAAAGCTAAACCCTGACTTGCTGACTCCTGAGGGAGTCATTAAGTAGAAGAGTTGGATTCCTTACTCTGGCTCACATATTCTCCACTTTCATGTTGTTTTAGCCAATAGGATGAAGTCCATGCTTCAGGAACTGGACAACAGCATCATTTCCAAGGATAATTTTATCCATGAACAAAATGGGAAGCTGACTGAGAAGGACAAAGCCATCCAACTCAACAAGGCAGAGATTGAACGTTTGGAGAAGAAAACCAAGATGCAAGAACACAAGGTGAGAGAAATATCTGCTGGAAACTGCTTGTTCTAGATATTTAATCTCTATTCACTATTTCTGTGTAGCTATTCTGAGTAACACTATAGTTTGGTGTTAAGAGCGTTCAAAGTTTCTCTTAGTAGTTTGAGTATAATCTCCACAACCTTCCATCACACATTAAATGTTAAATGCAGGAAAACAGTCAGTTGCAAGAACCAATCAGCAGACATAATTACTATTTAGCTTAATTAATGTCTATTGACAGATATTTGCATACAAGTTAAGCTAACAGTCCACTTCATATTGTCTCTGGATTCCACCTACTAGTTGGACTGTATGCAGCGGCAATGCCCTGAAGGGGAAGTCTTAACAGTTTCTTTTATTGCCAACTGCTGGAACACCAGAGAAGTTTTCCATTTCTCCCAGAAAGCTGTCTCATCATCAGATCATCATATTGGATGAGTTCTGAGATTGGTAGCTATGTATCTCAGTGTCTTGAATGTCCCACGGGTCTCTTTTCCAGATTGACATACTGCAGAAAACGACTAAAATCTACGAGGACGACAAACGTTCGCTGCAGCATGAGCTGGGAACCAGGGAACAGAGGCTGCAGAGAGAACAGTCAGAGAAGAGACGCATGGAGCAGCGAATGCATGGCGTGGTCACAGACACCCAGCACAAGTGGGAGAAAGAATGTGTGAGTAATTCCTTTAGAACACAAATGTAGGCAAATGAGGAAGCCTTCCGTGTACTTCAACAGACGGTTTACATACCTTGGGTAATTTTCTATTTTCATCAGGCCTCGGCGATCAATCCACACAGAGTAATGTTTCACTTAAAAATTGTGCTTCTGGTTGTGCAGGACCGACGTGTTAACGCGATGCAGCTGGAGATGCAGAACAAGCTGTGGGTGAAAGATGAGAAGCTGAAGCAGCTAAAGGCCATCGTGACAGAGAGCAAACCTTCAGGTCGTCCTGACCCTCCGCCGCGTCAGACACAACCTAAAAGGCCTTCCAGAGAGGAACGCCTCCCCGCCAAGAGATCAGCCTCGCCCTCTCCTATACCTGTAGGTTTTTTTTATTTTTTTTTTAACTACACTCTGCTCTGCTGCTGTTTAATTCATCTCTTCCTTCACTGACATTTCAGTCCAACAAAATTCTGTCACTTTTAAGTTAACACTTGCTTTTCTCTTCTTCAAACAATTAACCCTCTCCTGACTAACATCACCAATCACTCCACAGTAAAATGTAAGATGGTGAATCAGTTCTGTAGCTGTTTACGACTGCACAATTTAATGAGAATGTGAGTCAGTGTTACTTGGGTTCTCTCTGAGCTTGTTAGTTTGTCTATTTGAAGTTGCATTGGAACAGAGCTACAACTTACAACGGCTGTAAAAAGTTTGTTTGAATAAACATGTGTATATATATATTAATTCTCAATTTTCATCAGAAAATCATTTTATTACGAAGCTCAAAGCAGTGAATGATTGACTAGTTTAGACACCAGAACAATCAAAGTTTTGGCCTTTTTACTTGAGCTATTTCCCAAACCACATTAGTACATCTGTTTTATTTTCCATGAAATGTTATTTTTTTATCTGTTGATAAATTAGTTGGAGCTTTTAAAAAAATAACACCCCTAATTCATAACCATGACAAGGAGTATAATCTTCACAATGATACTTTGTTTTAAGCCTGTATTTTGATTAGACTGAATTGTCCATCAGCAGTAACAGTTACATTTAATTGTTATCATTTTTTTCTACTAACTACACTGTTTCTAACCTTGCATGCGTGCAGTCTTTCTACTCTGCTCCCCAGTGTCCTGTTGATTGTCCTCATGTCAGCCCAGCGCCAGGGCCAGTCAGTGCCACTACAGTTGAGGAGGTTGAGATAAACTCCGTCCACAGCAACATCAGTAGCTCTTCCTCTGTTGCTAGCTGCGTCTCTGCATGGGAGCAGCGATCGACTCAGGGCAGCAGGCAGGGTTATCAATCTCCCACTACTCCCATGAAAACCCAGTCCCAGCAGGCCCCTCAGCCAGCCGGGCCAGGAGGAGAGCCGTGTTTTTGAGTAGAGAGGACCAAGAGGCCAGATCCCCAACATATGATCTAGACATAACTGAGAGATCCTACAGGGTTAGTGAGTTAGCGCAAGGCAGCAGCACGATGTAGTTGAATACAAAGTGTCTCATTAGTCTTTAAGTATGGGGCCGATTTAGTTATTTTTGATTACAGGGGCTGAAAATATTCCGAGCCGTAAACCAGATGCAAGTCGGATATCTTTGTAATGAAAAGGGTTCGAGAATTACTTCAGATACTGACGCATTTTTTTTCCTGCCTTGTAGACAACGACCCCGGTGCGGCCGCTGCACCGCCGCTCCCGTTCTGCTGGTGGGGAGAAGTGGGTGGACCACAAGCCCTCCTCCAGCCTGGACTTGGGTACAGTGTTGCAGCCTGTCATCCCTAATTCCATCCAGGTGTCTACACCCAGTGAGAAGGCCCTGTCCAAGTGTGACAGATATGTGTTAACGCACCAGCAAGTCGCCTCTGATGGAGAGATCGAGACAAAACTTATTAAGGTAATGAATAATGCAAGAGGGTACTTTACACATTTTTAATGTGATGGACAAAAATCCAATAGCAAATGCTGTTAGAATCAGATTGATCTTACTTCACTGTTTTTTTTTTTCTTCTGGGGTGGCTTCTTGTTTTTTTTGTATTTCACATTCATTATGCGTATGTCCATTTGTTTCTGTAACAACAATCTGAATAGCAATATCAGAGACATTTAAACACACAAGCCAGCATGTACATTGCCTTGCTCCTGTGTCGACGTTTGTTAAGACTTCCTGAGAACAGGTTTAATCTCTCATTTAAAAGCAGTGCCATGCAGATTGTTTTAGGGCATCAGTCTTCAGTACTGAGATGCTAAATCTTGTGATGCACTTTGGCTGCAGACAGCATTTTAAAAATCCTGTGTCTCAGTCAACAATGAGACTGGTGTAAGTTTCCCTGATGAAAAATGTGAAAAGGAGCATATATAATATTCAATAAAAAAAAGGAATGATTTAACTGAAGAAGTTGTGATGTCCATGACAAACCAAAATATTCCACATACCACAGGGGAGTGCCGTCGGATAATCAGAAAGTCTGACAGGTTTTTTTCATCTCCACGGATGCTAGGGTTGTAGTTCAATTACACAGTATGTAACAGCAAAGTCATTTTAACATCTCTTTAAAAGGCTTCAGAAAGTTCTCAGTATGGATTAGTGATGCATGCCCAACCTGAAATTTAACAGGACTGGGATTGACTTTGAGATCACATTTCTTAAAGTGTTTTGCATTTTGTATATTAGGAGAGCAGATATGTCAGTGCACAACGTCTGTGTTCTGTGAATATCTACAACAGATTTTGGCAGTTGTACCAAACCAGGTCTTTGAAGGGTTTTATGCCCCTTCTGTTCTAGTTCTGGTTATTTTATGTCGTTGGAACTCTAAAGAATTGCTGAACTGGAACCAGATAATGTTGGTAATTTGCTCATACTTTTTTCTCTCTCAGGGTGAAGTGATTAAAACCAGAGGAGGAGGGCAGTCTGTCCAGTTCACCGACATTGAGACGCTGAAGCAGCAGCTCACAACAGTCCCTGGGTACCTGCTACAGACAGTTTTACCTGCTCATTACTCTGTTGTTATAATGTTTGAACCTTTATTTCCTAACTTCATTCCATTTTGTGTCTGAAGCCGCAAAAGAAAATCCTCAGAGGGCAAACCTGCAAACGGAGCCTCAACAGATGGAGCTTGGACTGACACAGAGACAAGGGTAGGATAATTATTTCCATTCATTTGTAATCAACTAACTTTCCAAGTGTGTCTTGGTTTAGGAAGAAGAAAAAAAAGACAGAACATTGAACAAACTTGACTTTTCATGTGAGCTAGGTGGCATGTCAAACACACACAGCAGTCTCCTTTAGCTAATACATCCTGGATGTGTACATTTAGACTTAATCTAATGTATAAAAAGGCTGAAAAAATGTTTTCATTCATGCCTAAAATTCTGTCAAAAAATAAGATATTTTTCAGACTGTTGAAACTAAAGGTGCGATTTTCGACTGGCATGTGACTGGAATCAGATGATTCTCAGCCGGCTGTGACCGATCGGTCCTCACAAGTATAGCTGATTCTGATCCGATCAGACACACAAGCCCTTTCATGCCATGCACACAAGCTCACATGTCAGCAGTGTGGATGTGAGCTGCCCATCAGAGGAGATGAGCAAGCTTTGACACTGGAGTATAAACAAAGCTCCACTCCTTGCTTCTCTTGGCCTAAGAGCGGATTGGTGTGTCAGTGCTGCTGGTATGTGCTCTCTGTCATTACCACTGGGGGAGCACTGTATGATCAAATATTTAATTAAATTCCTGCTAATATTCTTTGGTTACAGTGAGAGACTCAAATGATAAAACCCTTGCGTGTGAGCTCTTAATAAAAAAAGTTAACCCTGATGTGAGATGTGGCCCTTTGAAGGAAATATTATAGATTGATACTGATAACTAACGGAAATGAAACATGATAAAACTCTATGCAACCACAAATATCTTTCAACAAGGCAGTGAGGCAGACAGGTGAGAGACTGCAAGTAGGAGCGTAGTAAATGGTCAATAATTGTTATTTGTTCGTCATTCAGGGAGAAAACCTTGTTTCTCTTGTGGGCACCATCATTCTTTTAATATAGCTGTATCAACATACATTTTTGTCTGTTTGCAGTGTTCTGTGGCCATGGAGATGAGGGCTGGATCAAAGATGGGTCCTGGCTATGAGCATCATGGGATTACCAAGTAAACTCATCTTTTCGTACACATCACATCTGAAACAGCATCAACTCTGCAGTACACACAGACAGTCCTTTAATCAACTCTGTTCTTCGTTTTACAGGCGCAGAAAACCCTGAAAGCAGCTGTGATCACTTCCTCTGCCCTCACCTGGCTGTTGTGCAATAATCTGATTTTTTTATAAATATATATATATAGCTCTAGTTGTGATATTTAAACATTTTCCATGCTTTTTTATATGCAAACATGTTTCTACATGTGTCACCAAAGCTTTTTGTAAAGTATATTTTATGTTTGTATTTGAAACAGTAGAAAAAAAAACAAGTGTTATTTGTTTCAGATAAAGGTGGCAGGAAGTTTGTATTTACTGTGGATCTGCTGCTGAAAAGAGTCTGCTTGCACATTTGTGTGAAATGTAGTCACAGCCATTACTTGGCACGAGACCTTCTGAAGTGTTGACTAAGTCTGCTGCATCTTTATTGGTGAAGTAAAGAGCATCGAGAAGAGTTTAAATGCCTTTTTTTTCTACCACTGTATGTTGCGATCTCTCCTGTCTTTACTGTACACTAAAGAATAAAACACTTTTGCAGCAATAGTTTGTTTTTTGTATACACTAGGCTATGATAAGCCTAAGATAATCACCTGAGCAACTTTTGTCAGGCTAAAGAGAAACACTAGATGGCAGCAAAGGACAGGCATTAAAAATCTTTTAAATTGCACTGCAGGATCACTTCAGGGGCAAAGGCTTCCTGACTCAGTTGAGAGAGGTAATCATCAATGTGCATGACTCTGTAAGCATGTCACATGACAACAAAATCTCAAAGAATCACTAACGTAACACAAAGTTGTCACAAGTACCAGTAAGTTCCAGCTCCTTTGTGGTTGCATTAGAAATTATGTGCAGCTTCAGAAATAATTGATTAACAATTGTTTGCTGTCAGCAGAACAGTTGACAAGCTTAAAAGAAAAGAATGCCAAGATTTAAAAAAAAAAAAAAAGATTTCACACAGCGAGTTAGAGCTCTGGGCCATTCTGTGCCAAGAGTGTACTAATACTCTCCGTCATATAAACAAAGTCTGCTTTCAATTACTTTGAAGAAATTGCTTTTCTGAGCTCACGCTTGATTAGATATTCATTATGTTAAACAAGACACCTTGTATATAAATCCATATTAAATTAGTCTGGTTGGCTGCCTTCCACTTGAGTCGGCTGGGTTTCCAGGCACAAAAAAAATTGTTGAGTGATGCCCGGTCTTCACTGTTGAATGTTTTGTTTTCTTAGTCAGATGGTTTGTTGTAACCTGTTCGACTATCACATTCTATTTACAGATGTTTGTTGAAACTGATATTTAAAGTAACTAAAGCGGTCTAATTAATGTAGTACCAAAGTTCAAAGTACCATTACTCTGAAGTTGTTCCTAGAAATGGTAGAAAATACACCTACAGTTATAGTAACATTCAACCTGTGCGCTTTATCTTTAATATAAAGTCACTTGTGAATTATCGATGAAGGTACATTCAAACCTCTTTAAGCAGACAGCATTAGGGTGTGAAACCTCTCCTCGAGCTACAGCAAGAGATGTGTGTCTAGTATCACAATCTCCTAAACTTCAACAGAGCATCAGCAGTGTAATGACCAGCAGCTCGTGGTTCACTCATCCAGGCATCAAGTAGACAGTTGAAATCTAATCCAAACCAGTCTGGCTGTGTTTCAATTGGAAAGCACTGGAGAGTGACTAACATGGAGGCTCTTGGAGAGGGTCAAGAGGCAGGAGCAACCAGTGGCCATTAAATTCACTCCTATGAGATATGGAGTGCTTTGCTTTTTGACCAGGCTCTGTTTGATGTGCTGCAGCATGCTATTATCTCCAGCTTTGCACCGCAGGCCCTCCACAGGCATGAGGCGTGAGCATTATAAAGATGTTATTATCAAAGTCCTGTAAAAGCCGCTGATCAGCAGTGCCAGCTTCAGAAAGAGACACTTGAAGAAAATGAATGAAATCTGCAGTCAAAGGCGAGCAAAGCTTAAAACCCAAGTCTTAAAGAAGGCACTTGAAATACAAGTCTATGGAAAGCTGACATCATCCTGCATTTCAGTGTCTCATTTTGCTTATCAATGTTATTAAACTTTCCTGGAGGGAATTTAGATGTTCTACATGAATACTCACAGTCAATTAGACCATCTTAGATTTGAAAAGAGCGAGCCTAATTGCGACGTTGAATTGACTCTTTGCTTGAATGGCTCTGATAAAGAGGTTTAAGCTGCTTTTTGGCACATGCAGCATGAAATTATTTTCATATACATCTATAATGCTGATGAGGCCAGTTCATAATTCAGTGGCTCTAAACAAGCTAAAACTAGCTTTTAGGGTAATTTGGCAACATTTTTGGTAAACAGAATCATTTGAACACATCAAGCAGACATGAATCAATATAGGTTTTATAGTCCAAGTATTATTAATCCTGAGGGAATGTCTCTCTTGAAGCTTAATGCTTGCTTCGCTTTATACATACAAGAATTCATCTTCAACTGGATGTTTTCAGATTTTTTTTTAAATTTTATTTTGAAACGGCTGCCATTTTTCTCTTTGAGAACCGAGAGAAATATCGGGAAAAAAAGACTAAAGGGGACACGCCCAACATTACCAATTCAGGCTATACTATTTGAACATGTGTGCAGACATACCGTATAAAAGTCTGCACCGTTTCTTTTTGTTTTAAGATTCATTTCTGACTACAAGTGGTATTTTTCAAAATCTTAAACTCTTTCAGTGTTTGTTGAACCTCCTTATTCTCTGTTTTTCATTAATATATCACACTACCCGACTTTTGGCCTCCATAGCTATTGCCACACAATGGAAACACAAGAGTAGAATACACATTTAAACAGGGTGACTTCTATCCAAACAATTATCATTAATGTCCAGGAAAACATTACAGAGATGTGTTTACTTACTCAAGGCAGACGGTTGAGCAAACCTGTTGTGATCCCGGACGAGCTTAGCCTATTTGTAACGAGAGAAAAAAAAAAAAGAGTAAACAAACTTCCCACTTTAAGTGTTTTATTTTATCAATACTCACTCACAACAAGGCCAGCAAACTATGCAAATCTATAAGGTCAGTGATGTAGGGCGTGTAAGGATGAGATGGATTTATGGATGAGTGAGACAATGTAAGTTCGTTCATGTCAAAATTTAGTTCACAATCAAAAACAAGCTGCAAGTAAGGAGCTGGTGTGCTCCCTGGCAGTCCATCCTGAGAAACGAGAGAGAGAGATCTCTGGGTCTCCAGCTCCTTTAGCTGCAGCAGAGCCTGTGAGCCAGGTGTTCTTCATTGGCCTAACGACCCCCTCTCCACTCACTCTGCAGACCTCATAGAAAAACAGGTTAGAAAATGTGCACACCAATCAGGACAATTCATAAGTCTGTTCTAACGAGCAGTCTCAGTTTTAGATGCTCTGGATACGGATACATAGGAAAGTTGTGCATGTTAGAACCAACATCGTTGTGAGAGTTCATGTAGTTTTAAAACATGGCCAGGACAGCTGTGAACCAAAATATTAAAGTTGAAGAGCAGAAAATTAAACCAATACGTGCTTTAACTTTCACAGTGCTGTAGCTTTGACGCTATCTGATGTATTTCACAATTATTCAACAAAGTCACTTGATCTACCATTTGTAGAAAATACATTGATCGTCGCACCTTTTAATGAGCTATTAAGCTTTGCTAAATTTGTCTCGAGCAGAAGGTTCATGACCTGTTTCTGCTCACATGCTTAACACACAGTACTGATTCAGGCTGTGAAAAGTGGGCACGAGTTTAAATAGGTGTGATGAAAGTGTAACTCTATCCGGAAGCCCTCTAAACTTGGCTGTAAGGAGCATCTGAAGAATGGTGGCGGATTCAGTTGCGTCAAAAGCTGTATCATAACAACTGAATGGTTGCTGATTTGGAGGGCATGTTGAGGCAAGTACCACAGCTGTCCTTAAAACCAGAAGCAATTAGGAGGGTTTCTGCTTCCTTTCAGTGGCGAGGATAACAATCCCTGACAATGAAAGTCAATTAGTGGGAAACACAAGTAAATACTGCATGAGAGTCATAGCTTTGTGAATCAAAGTAGTGGGCTCTGTACACCACGTCTTCGTATGTCAAGGCCGTGGCTGTCTGCCAGCTAAATGTGTCGGGGCCACAAAGATATGCGAATGCAGATGAGTGTTGACAGCAAGTCAATTGTCATTCAGCCCCTCTCCCAGCCTCTTGGGACTCATCTGACATTTTTTTTTGTGCTGCAGCTACTCTTCACTGCTTGCTCACCTCACACTCCTCTGCCTAATGCATACTAAAAGGCACAGTGGAGGCACGAGGCACCGTGTTCAGTGTTAATAAAAGGTAAACGCTCCCACGCTCTCTCTCCTGCTGGTTCGGCTGTGATGAGCAGATGGTTAAAATGGTTAAGATGTTTTTTTTTTTTTTTACCAGCTGTTTAGAAGCACATTGGATCAGAATTGCTATGACCCTTAAGTGCACGCAGTTAGTGGTTCAGAAAACATCATTCAATCTGCTGCCCCTTCCCCTCCTGCTCGGTATTTAGTCTGATATGTCACTTATCTGCTTTCACTTCATGTTGACGGTTACTTATTTTTACCCCAAAATTGGTCAAACTGTTGTGAGATCTTTCAATGTGCATTTTGATCCCATAACATCCTTTTTTTTTTTGTGGTTACACAAAACACCCAGAACGTTGACCTCTCACAAACCCAAATCAAGACATGACTGATTTCTTTCTCAAAATATTGGAAGCCATTGTTGTAGGCTCATTTTAGCCAAATTGGGACGAATAGTGTTTTTCCTCTGTGCCTTTGTTCTTGGCAGCGGACTAAGTGCTCGCAGCTGTCAGTTGAGTGTATTCTCCTTGCCCAGTATATGTGGCTTGGCTGCACTTTTATCTGGCTGGGTCCCTACTGTGGTGACAGTATGCCATGACCGATTTCCGTTGACTCACTTTAACTGTAACCACAATGTGTCCCTTGCAGAAAAATCCGACTTGCTTTTTTGATCTCATCGAGTTAACATGATGGAGAAAACGGGCTTTGCGTGCAGTTTGCTGATTATTTAAGCAGCGCTTGGAGCAGTTTGTTGATGAAATGAAAGAAGAGGAGATGCCTGAAATGATTGTACTGACAATGGCACAATGCAGGATGATGTACGATGACTAAATGGTATTTGGATGTGGTTGGAGATTGACTCAACTTTCTCACATTACATGAATCTTCGAGCTTCGTTTCTTGCAAGTACACAGAATAAATGAGCGTTAAAAACACCTCTTAATAAGCAGCTAAAATGATATGTGTGAGTCCTTGTTTGCTGCAGAGAGAGCATTTCTCCTGCCAATGCTTTCATGCAAATTATTCACACTGGAACCGGCTTATCTGTGAACAATCATAGTTGGCATTTGAAAGAGGGTGAAACAGTTCCACAGGATTTTTACATATGCATAAAGCTCGGTCACAAACTTCCACACAAAGGACTATTTTCAATGCACACTTCAGCTATTTATCTTAAAATAGTCTACTAATCCAGCACCTAGCACATTG